TTTTTTTTTTTTTTTCAAGAAATGTCACTAAACATTCAAGAAATCATAAATTTTTAGAAATTCAAGAAATCATAAATTTTTAGAAATTCAAATTACTGAAGAGCAACAACGAAACAAATCAAGATCACAAAATCAGACGAACTTTTCCAATTCAGCAGTATAATACAAAAAATGTGGTAACAGTAGCTTAACCACAACAAGAACAAACAAAGAAAAGTGAAAATGGAGAAAAGCCCAAGTAAGAGAAGTGAGAAACCAGATCAAGATAAATGGTGCCATGAACATTGTCACAAACATTCTTGGAGAGTTGAAGATCGCGTGAGGAGGCAAAGTCATAGACTGGGAACATTTGGGTGTCTTCATTGCAATAAGCTCAAATTCTTAGTCTTTCAGATCTGGAAATGGAAAGATTCAACAAGAGAAGAGAAAACCAGAGGAAGAAACAATGTTGGCAATGCTGGGCGTTGGCGATGCTAGAGGCAATGGAGACTAGAAACGAAACTAATCGAAGAGTAGGCACAATGGAGGACTAGAGTCTAGAGAAGTGGAGCTAGAGAAGAAGAAAGAGTCAATTAGGATGAAGATGAAGCTTAGGGTTTCTAATTTTAGCAACCTATGTTTAGATTTTGAGTTTTTTACCCTAAAATTGTAATGGGTTAAAGGGTAAAAGGGTAATATGGAAAAAAAATGGGGATAAAACATACCAATTAGTAAAAAATATGAAAAATAAAAAAGGAATGGAAAGAATTGTGTAATTGACCTGCAGGTTTACCAAGTCTTCCAAGTGGAAAGGTTTCGTCAGGTCCACCGTGTTTAGATGATCCAACCGCCCAAACGAGTTTAAGCTTCCAACCAAACCATTTCATTAACCGAGTGACGGTCGAACCTGTCAAACTGACCGGGCTGATCCAATTTTGAAAACACTAGTTCCAGGCATGAAAATAAGATTTAAATATTAATAGATTTTGATTATTGGGATGTTGATGTTGAGAATTTGGTGTTGGTGATCATTATATGGATATATTTGATAATTCATTTATTTATTTATTTATTTTGTTTATGGTTAATGGGGGAAAGTTGATAGTTTAGGTGGAACTCTACCTTTTTTAAAAGAAAAAAGAAAAAAAAAAGAAAATATAACCTATTATACATTTTCATATGGATGAGTTTAAAATAGTTGAGATGTTGGTTAATAAGGGAAAGTTGATAGTTTAGGTGGAACACTACCAGGGTGTTTTTTTCTTTTCTTTTTTTTTTTTAAAGCTAATCCGTTATGTTACATCCCGGTAAAGGTAAAATATTTAGGGGGGCTAACTTGGAGACACGTTATTTATCTCATTAAAACTTTTCTCCACATTAAGAAGTTGTTGATCATAAGAATTTCCATAACACAACATTAATGAGTTTGGGGCTTAATGTCACGCCCCAGAACCCAAATCCAGGTCGTGGCAGACGCCGTGCACTCGTGAGCGGAGCCCACAAATGCACAAGGCTCGAGACCTACTGAGTTCTTACTTAGCAATTCAAATTTAAGCCTTTTAATCTACCAAATAGTTACCAGTCGAATGTACAAAATTTATCACTTCATATATACAATCA